GAAGACAGCCGAAGTCTAATATTTCTGAAATTAGTCCTGATCTCTTATAGTTATATTTATGGACATTTTCACATATGTGTGATAATTGGTCTTTTGGAACTCTGCTTATTGTCTTATGCATTGCATATGTTTGCAAAAATTCTTTTTAAAAATACCTTCAATAGAACTGGTCAGCCCTAAGAGTATGTGGTGAAGCCTTTCACAGCAGTAGACGGACAGACTCAAGTGCCCAGATAAGTGATGGGCACTCATGCTTTGAGGCCACTTAAATTTGCCAAATGGCTGTCCTTCCATCCTCACTCCCCATTAATGCCTCCCCCAAGTGTTGACACAGGGTTCTGCTTTGAGAAGTTGTTTATGCGGCAGGAAAGCCTACAATAACCCTCTGCCTAGAAGGGCTCTGTTCTTGTTCTTGTTCTGCTTCTGGGGCTCTCAGCTTTGTACTGATCTTAAGCCACCTCTTCCCACTAGTATTGCTGACTGAGAACCCTCCCTTGGTTCCAGCTTCAACTTTGCCCAATTTTTTTGTCTTAATGGCTTAAAGCTCCAAGGGTAAACAAGGTTGTAATAGAAAATGCAATCCACAGGAACCCAAGACATTCCAACATCCATCTATTTTAATTTGGATTACACGTACTCTACACTTCACCAGTTTTTGTACCCAAAACAGCATTTGTCTGAATGCAGGTTGTAGAGATGGGCACGTTATCTCTCATTACCTCCAGGACAATGCAGAACCAGCTCATGAGCTTATAGCTCTGTTTTAAAAATTTCTACTCATTCCTGACCTTTGAAGATTTACATTTTATTCTTGTGAGTTGTACAACCAACTCAGAATTTCTGGGTGTTTATAGTCATAAGATTTTCATATTATCCTGTCTGTCAAATTGCTGGAGCTGTAAGTGTTTAATCCGAATTTTGTGTTATTTGGTACATAAAGACTGCATGATTCATCGCTTTGATTATTCTCTTGTAATATTCTCAAATCCTTTGCCCTATTTTCTTTCCTTCCCAGCAAAACTCCAATGCTTGATTCTTGCCCTGGATTTGGCTTTCTACTTTTTCTGAACTTATACCTGTAATGCTGAGCAAAGCTGAGGAAATAACCTGCAACTAGGCAAAAACACCCCCAACCAACAATAAAAACCCCCACTCTATATTCACGTCCCATTCTCCACTTAATGTCACCCAGGAATCCCGGTTTCCCTTGTGAGTCATCTCTCCCATTCTCCACAGCTATTTTAAACCCTTCTACTCTCCTCATCCCTCTGCCCCCCTTTATAGAAGTATTTTCAGAAGATAAACTTACTTTCTACTTCCTACAGGATATAGAGACCATCAGAACAGAGTGTTCTCAAATTCTATCCACCAAACACATTAACTCATTTATGCTGGAATACACCGCTTTTTCCTTTCTTCCTATTACAAGGAAGGAACTTTCTCTTCCTGTCTAAGCACAGTGATCATATAATTTATCATTGAAGCCTGGATACTTTTGAAAGTAATAGAGAGACTCTATTAATAATTATTCCAGGACAACAGGTGTAAGCCAGAACGTCCTGGGAAAACTGGGACATGTGGTCACCCTCTGTATAAAGTTCATCATATCACTTGTCCCCTGAATACATACCTTTTGCCTTCTCAAGCACCACCAATATTCCTTTGAATCTTCCCTCTCTCTCGTATGTTCAAAATTTCCTTCTCTCTAGACTCCTTCTCATTAATAGTTTAACATTTTTTATCTTTTAAAAAGAGAAATTTTGCAAACCAACACTATATGCCTCCAGCTACTGCTCATTTTTTGACTCTGCCCTTTTTGCTGCTAAATTTAGTGAAAACTTTATCTATACCCACTGTCTCTCTTTTTAAAAAATTTCTAGTCTCCATTATTTACAGAATTCTAGCTTCTTCCGTAATCCCCCTTCTGACACTATTCTGGACAGTCTCACACATGATTATGATGTTCTTTAATGGAACAGACAGCATTCAACATTACTTAGTTTCTTAGACACTTCTATCTGTGCAGCCTTGAGTTCGTTATCCTCTCTGTTCCTCAGTTTCCTAAAATAGCACAATGATAAACCTTTGTCACAGACCATTAGTGTGGATTAAATAAAATAATCCACATAAGGCATTTAGTATTCTTAAGTGCTAGACATCCCATTGCCCCTCCTTTTAGAAAAACATCCATGTTTGACCATGCTTGAGGTAGAGTTCCATCAGTAATTTTGCATGTCATGGTCTGAACCTTGTAAGATAAGACAGGAGGGTAGAATATCTTTGTCTTGCCATTCCAGAGACACACCGACTGAGGATGGCAATCCAGAAAGGGAGCTTTGCTTCTATGTTGAAGGGTGTTACTTTTTTTGTTACGGCACCTAGGATCTAGTGAACACACTGTACCAAATCCACGGCCTGGCCTGGATATCCTCATTAGAAGCTAGCAATGGTGAACAAAGCCCTATCTTTTCCTACTCACTTGGAATAAGTGTAGCTCAGAATCCAATGGCACTGTGGAGTTCTCCTTCTAATTTGCTCGAACTAATTTTCAGAGTTAATGACACAACATGTAGCAAATGCTTATCTGCCCTGACTGACCATGGCCCAGATTCATCTTCGGCCCTCACCATTGCCAACCTAGGAGGTATTTGCAGGCACTTTTGAGATTCTTCTCAGTTGCATTTTCACCTGTTCTGAGTAGTTGGCTGAATTGGCCCTTCCTTTAAATAGGTCATGTTGCATTATATCTTGTGGAAATGCCTCAACTATTTCTTTAAGTGGAAGCCAACTTTTCAGATCTTCAAGAAGCAAAACTGATTTGCTGTAATTTTTATGTTCTAATTATAGTCAATGCCATTAATAAATGCTTCTTATGTACCAGCAACTTTGCTAAGCATGTCACAAATTTTCATGTATATCGGCTATTTGGATAGGGACTAGGATGGAGTAGAAATTAGACATGTGTGATAAAATGATCATTTTGCCTACTGTTAGAGTAACTTTAAATAATGTGATCAACTCTCAATACTAGCAAGTTTAAGAAAACCTCCAGCATATATTGACTGTTAAAGAAATGAGCATGACCATTTAAATGTTAGGAAGAAAGAAAAGAGTATTTAGTTTTTACTGATAAGCATGATACAAAATTAAATGGCAAGGTAGGACTAAATGGTGTAATTGAACTCCAATAACTGAGATTTTTAATAATTTTCTCTAGCCAAAGTCAAAGTAAATCATTTCAATATCTATGAAGACAGTGACCTAAAAAATAGTATCATGTATATATATAAAAGCCAAGCGACCAGAATGACCAGAATGGTCGCTATGACACACACTGCAGCCAGCCAACTGGCCCAATAGGGGGTGGGACCCTCCGGCCAACCTCCTGAGGCCCCTCCCCTAAGCTGGCCTGGCCCTGATGGGCCCCGATCAGGGAAGGCTGGCCGGACCCCACCCATACAGGAATTCGTGCACTGGGCCTCTAGTATATTATAATGTAGAAGCTCATATATTGGTGAGGAAAATCTTTATGATAGTGTATACAAATGGATAACATTAATCTGCATCATTACACATATAGTTCAAGCAAACACTGAATCCAGGCAGATATTCAATGTGTCAGGGTGTGCAACTGAATGTGTTTGTATGCTTATTTTTCATTGTATAATTAACATCAACTGATTGTTGCATACTGAGCTTTATTAGCATTGATGATTTAGAATATATTAAATTATAGCAACTAGGCTGAAAATACATCCTTTTTTATATCTGACAGTCACTATTCTCAACAACTGCATTTATTTTCATGAGGAATTCATAAAAATTTTATGAGCAGTTGATGCAATAGCATAATAAACATGTTATCTCAAGTAGAAGTAAATGTGGGAAGTGAGATCACTAGAGCTGTGAGAGGAAGATTTAGCTGGGAAATAAAAATCTTAAAGGAGCTAATAATAGCAAACTATATGATTGAGAAGGAGGAGATGTAGGAATGATTAAATTTTGGATTAAGGGTAGGATGAAATCAAAGTAAGCTGTGGGGAATCCTAAACGTCATCCCTAATTGAACTGGTATATAATTGTACCAAGTATATGATAGTTCAATTACTCTATCAATCAGATAAGAAAAAAGCAGAAAAATAGGTGATGATTCTTAGTCAATATTTACTGTTTACAAAAGGCCACACATGATAAATACTGTCAACACCTCACTGAATATAACAAACTCCACTGTACAAATGAGAAAACTGGGACCCAGAGAGGTCAATTCAATAGCTTGTAACAGGAAGAGCTGGGAAGGATTTTGTATTCACTTCACTCACCTAGCACAGATGTGCTGGTGGCTTCTATTTTTAAGCAACATGTGCTGTAATTTTAGGTCAAGAAGGATCCAACCACCAAATGGGTAAAACATCTAGCCCTATGTGAATTCTGATTTCTCAGTGAAGAACTTTCACAGAGAGTTGTTGAATTAGTTGATTATAGAACATTTTAAATATGGAAAAATACTTTAACAGTGTATCTCCTAGAAGTAGGACTGTTTTTGCTTTTACATTCTGAGTATTTTTTTCAATGCTTTGTAACAATACAGTTTGAAAAAAAACATTATTTTCTTTTGGTAACATTTTCAAAGTCATGTCTACATACTGCAAAAGATCAAATGTCTTCAAATTTATTAACTAGGAAGACTTGTCCATGCCAGTCAGACATTCTAAAGCAGTGTCCTTTAGTTTTAGTATCATAGTGAATTTAATTTGTTTTGGTCAAAATTACCTGTGATTGTAGGCAATAGATGGAATATGACCTATTACTCCAATGAAATTTTCTTTCTTTTTTTAGTTATTCCTTTCACAGTCTTGATCTTAGAGTCTAATATCTGGAACAGTTGAGGGAACTGAACTACCTACACCTCTACTTTTGCCAGCTACATCCAATAGAGCCTTCACAGCAGAACTTGAGGCCTCTTGATAACACTCAGGGGAAGGAATGCAGCTCCTTACCCTCAACTTCCAGCTTCACCAATTTGGAATATGCCGTCCCGAGGCTGTTTTTTGCCACACATCGATAATGTCCTGCATCTTCCTTTTGCACATTATGAATCCTTAAACTCCCAGATTCAAGAACTGCAATGCGGGAATTTTCCTGCCAGGGATAAGGACATGAATTTTAAAAGGCCCATGGCTCTATCAAGGACACATTTGCCACATTTCATCAAGTTATTTTCATCACTGTTATCATCAAGAATAGCATTTTGAACATTTGTATTTGGCACTTACAATGTATAATATTTGATAGTAAATGAGATAGTATAAAATTACCTAAATTAATCTTATAATCATCCCATAAGATTAGTTTATTTTTATTTTCTTTCATCACACAATTATACCAAGGCTTATTTGATTTTCTAAAAACCATACCCAAGTCTTTTTGATTAAAAGCATTGCTTTTTACTACCTTATTTACTGAACACTCTATGTAGTGTCCTTAAGGGAATATAGGTCCTTTGAAAAAAATGGTAAGTTCTACAAATAATGCAAAAATTGGTTTTTGAAGTTAAAATATTACTTTATCTTCTCTTCTAGGACTCTAAATTCAGTAACATATATAGAGCCACACCTTGCTTTTATTGTTGGAAATGCACCAGTATTTATAGCAAAAGGAAAGCCAGAGGAGCATATATAGATTACCACAAAATATTTAACATTTTGTGTTTTATTTTAAATTCTAAAAAAGCTACTTAATTTGATATTGAATTATTTGACATATATATGAATCCCCTATGGGATATTCTATTATGTTGGTATAAGATATGATACAAAAGCAGTACCAAGTAAGCATGCGAATAATAACTTTTGACTACTCTTTGTGATTGGGGTATTTGTCAAGATGTTTGCTTGTTCACCAGACTTGAGTCTTCATGCTCTATCTCCACTCCAGAGGGTTCTCATTCCTTTTCTTCCAAATCTCATTTCTCTCTCTCCTCCCAGAAACTGTTCGTCAGGTCTAAAGCTTGGATTTTAGTTCCATCTTTTTTATTTTGTAGGTCTCTGTGATCCAGTGTTGAAAAATAAATGTTCAACCAACCAACAAAAAAGCCTCTAGCTTTGCTTCTGCTTTGCCTCCTTTTTCCTCCCTGACACTATAGGTACCCATCTCATTTTTCCCTAGCCAGCCCCAGCTGGATTGCCTTAAAATTTGCATATAAAGGAACAGATATGTTTAAGTTTGGTTAAAATGTTGTATGTGGAAAAAAATCTTATAATCAAAGTTTGTAAGTTTGTAATGGAGTTTGCTATGGATTGTTGTGTTTGAAAATATGTTTATATACATGCTTTAACATAATAATCACTTACCCTGAGAGCACTATCTCCTTTAATCCATGACACCGATGGTTTGGGATTGCCCATTGTAGTACATGGTAGAACTGCCTTTAATCCTTCTATGATTTTTACATTTATGGGAGGACGAGTTATTTTCGGTTCTAAAGGGAAACAAACATTCAAAATTAACAAGGCAAGAAAATGGAGAGTACAGGGACTAAGAGACTTGCCTTTAGGGTGGTGTTTGATGGCAGGAATAAGAGGTATGGAATTAACTGTCTCAAGGTTGTGTTTTGAACTTGAACTTGTCTAACTTCTGAACCTCTAGGTATGGGAAGCTCTATTTACCACCTGTTCCAAATGTTAAAATCAGTAGATGAAACCAAAGAACTTGTATGCATATATGCATAACCCATGGACACAGACAATAGGATGCTGAAGGCCTGGGGCAGAGGGTGTGGGCAGGCTATGAGGGGTCAATGGGAGCAAAAGGGGACATCTGTAATACTTTCAACATTAAAGATTTTTAAAAATTAAATCAATAGATGATTATCTTTCTCACTCACTCATCTTCACTTGCAGAGCCCCGCAGCTCTCCGCAGCTCCTCCCACGCCATTGTCAGCGATGCAGCAGTAAATGCCGTCGTCACTATCTTCCACACTCAGGATGGTGAGGAGCTGCCCGTTCTCCCGAATGCTGTACCGGGTGTCGAAGAGCCTGCAGGTCACAGAGGAAAATGCCAGGTTAGAGCCTCACCTGTGATTTTTGGGCTATGGTGAACTGATCAGAAAGATAACTTGTCAATGAGAAAGTAGATTGAAGGTCAGAGGAAACTTGAGTGTCTTCTGAATAATAAAATAATCTTATTTAGTAATATAAAGCTAACATTATATTCTAATCTTTGCTGGGCTCCAATAATCAAAGCACTATTGAGTCCTTCAAAAATGGGGATGTCTACTGAAAGGTAAAATTTACTTTATTCAGGAAAGTGTATATTTTTTTAAATATATTTTATTGATTTTTTACAGAGAGGAAGGGAGAGAGATAGAGTTAGAAACATCGATGAGAGAAACATTGATCAGCTGCCTCCTGCACATCCCCCACTGGGGGTGTGCCCACAACCCAGGTACATGCCCTTGACCGGAATCGAACCTGGGACCTTTCAGTCCGCAGGCCGACGCTCTATCCACCGAGCCAAACCGGCTTCGACAGGAAAGTATATTATTACCAAGATATAGAGTCATGCCCTGACCAGTTTGGCTCAGTGGATAGAGCGTTGGCCTGCGGACTGAAGGGTCCCATGTTCGATTCCAGTCAAGGGCATGTACCTTGGTTGCAGGCACATCCCCAGTGGGGGGCGTGCAGGAGGCAGCTGATCGATGTCTCTCTCTCATCGATGTTTCTAACTCTCTATCCCTCTCCCCTCCTCTCTGGAAAAATCAATAAAATATATTTTTAAAAAAAGATATAGAGTCATATTCCCACAATTACTGGGAAATAGCAGCTGGATAATGAAAACACACACACACACAGACACACACACTCACACACTCACACACACACAAATGTAACTAGCAGAAAGGGTTAAATATTTACATAAGTAAATTAACTGAGTATGTATGCATTCATTAAGCGGATATTTGGTGACTGCTCAGCATGTGCCAGGCATAGTTCTAGTTCTTTGGGATACAAGGAAGAAAATAGTCCCAACTTCCCCATGTCAATTAAATCACTATTTTGCTTTGAGCAATTCCCTTAACCTCACTGAAGTTCAGATCTTACATTTATAAAATGAGGACATTTGCATTTTACATGTCATAGAAGGTGAACTTTAATACTGCCAAGAGCTGTGGTTGCATTCATGTCAGGATATATTGCAAGGCAGTATTGGCATTCTTGCCAGAAAAGGCAGAATACTTACTTGATGAGAATTTTATTCCTAGTCCAGGAAATTTCAGGCTGGGGATAAGATTCCACTGCACACATGAAAGTAGCCACTTCTTCAACTAAGGCATCCACTGTTTCAAGAGGAGTGGTGATGACAGGAGCTAACAGGAGAGGAGAAATAATGTGAGAGCTGTATACTAACCTCTGTAAGCAGTCAGAGACCATCACATACCCGAATAAGAATTATATTTTTGCATAGCAGAAATTTGCCAAAAGGAAGGAAAATTTTATGTAGAGAATTTTGTTTCTACTTCCAAACTAGGTATTTGAGAATCAAAAAAAGAAGGCTCTTAAGAGAATAGGGACATGTCCAGGTTTTATAAAGCTCAAAGGTATATAATTTGGGTGCCCTCTTTAAGGAAGAATATATCAAATTATGGATATAAAATGTCTGTGGCCACTTCAACACCAGTCAACTAGAATGGAAGTATGACTGAAGGGAAGTCAGAGTGGAAAGAGATGGCAATGTTAACAATTGTTTAAAAATAATTTTCTCCACATTTTATAAAAAATATCTTTATCTGAACACATTCCTAGAGTCCACTGAGGATCTTAGAAGGGGCTCATGAGAATAAGAGATTCTGAAGTTTAAGCTTCATCTGATTTATAGGGAATTCACATCTGCATATGACTAGATTAGAAAAACTCCATAATACAAGATATATAACACAAATTTTTAAAAATGGGCAAAGGATCTTAATAGACATTTTCCCAAAGAATGTGTACAAATGGACAATAGCATGAAAAGATGCTCATCATCATTAGCTATTAAGGAAATGCAAATCAAACCACAATAAGATGCCACTTCACACTCTATAGAATGGCTGTACTCAAAAAGAAATAAACAACAAATGTTGGTAAGGACATGGAGAAATTAGAATATTTGTATATTGTTGGTTGGAATATAAAATGGTACAACCACTGAAAAACAGTATGGTGGTTCCTCAAAACATTAAACATGTAATTATTCTATGACCCAGCAATTTCACACCTAAGAAAATTGAAAGCAGGGACTCATAGATTTTTGTACACTCATTTTAATAATAGCATTACACACAATAACCAAAAGGTGGAAGCAACCCAAGTATCTGCCAGCAAATTAACAGGTAAACAAAATGTAATTTATTCAATACCATTTAACAATAAAAATAAATGAGGTATGATACATGTTACAGCATAGACACACCTTGGAAACAATAAGCTAAGTGGGGAAAAAAGCCAGTCATAAGGACAACATATTATACAATTCCATTTCTATGAAGTGTCCAGAGTAGACAAATCTATAGAGCCAGAAAATATATTCGTGGTTGCTTAGGACTGAGGGAGAGGGTGGAGTGACTAGGGATAATGACTAGAAGCAAAAAGATGTGTCTTGTAAGGACCCACGATCTAGATGACAAGGTAGGATAGACACATAAGGTGATCAGCTATAATAATCAGTTAGACCTGGTCTCCTGATGTGATTATCAATAGTGCCCCCTTTACTCCCAAATTACCTGAGTTAGGACAATAAATTATATGGTCATTTTAGTTGAAACACAAGGTGCCTATGAAAACCCAGTAAGCAGGGTGAACATGTGGGGTAGTTGGTGACAGCTTCAGGAAACACCAAGAACTGGTACATTGGCCATAAACGACACACCTACTCTATCTAAATAACCTTATTTTTTCAAACTCAAAGGCAAACTCATGGGCTGAGAGTGAAGGAAAATGGAAAATGTTAGTTGGGAGTGTCTCACTTAGCTCATATCTTTCTTGTTAATATTACTCTTTTCTTAAAATCCTGTTTGAGCATCATGTCCTCCCAATTTCCCTGATTTGTTAGAGCCAAATGCCCTTTTCTTTAACCTTAGTTCATCCTGTATATGTCACTCTTATAGGGCTTGTCACATGGACACTATTAAAATAATCTGTCTATGTCTTTGTTCCACTCAATTACAAAAACCTTGAGCTTTAGGTCAGGGACCATGTCTTAGAGATTTCTCTTCCCAGGGTTATCACATTTACTGATGTATTATTTAAATGAACCAGACTATATTTCTGAGGCCTTTATAAAAGGCATATATTTTTATAAGGTTGAAAGAGTAGCTCTAACGAGAGAGCAGAATTTTTAGGAAAAATGACATGTAAAGGTATTATGGCCACTATTTTCCAATTTTCCATTGAAATACCATTAAAATATACAGAATACAGTACAAAGAAATAAAATGTATTAAAGAGTAGTTAAGAAACATAAAATATAGATTGGCAGGCCCTTCTAATGGAAGTTCCAGGAAAATAAAACAGAGGGAATGGCCAAGAAGCAATTTGTAAAGGGATACATACCTGGTCATTTTTCAAAATTGAAAAGAAAGCATGAATATTCAGATGGAAAGTTATATCAAGTGTCAAGCCAGATAAAGAATAATAAATTCATCCCTAGATATGCTGGATTCAATCTATAAAAAGTTAAAGATAGAAAATCTTAAACCCTCCTAGAAAGAAAAGATCAATCACCTTAATAGAAATGCCAATTAGGCTGACATGAGGTTATTCAGCAACAATTGATACCAAAAATGCAATGGGTTAATACCTTTAAAGGGATGAGATAAAATAACTATTAGCTTGGAATTCTATAGTCAACTTAGATAATAATTGTAAAATGAAGACAAAACAAAGACAGGAAAATACTAAAATTGTTTACCACTCACAGACCTTCTGTGAAACAGTTGGTGAAGTATATAAACTCAGTAAAAAATAACTTGTACCCCAAAAAAAGGGATGAGAGATGACAATAGTAAGCAAGGATGGTAGTAAAATATGATTCCAATTTTAATTCACTATGGAATATTTGAAAAGTAAACCACTAATTTTTGTGTTTAAAAAAGAATGAAACTAAAATTATATATAAACAATTATAAGATGAAAGGTCAGGGAAGAAGTTCAGTGGATAGTTAAAATATGTTAAACTCATTACCATAAAGAGGAAGATGGCAGCAATACTGAGTAACTACAGACATGGGGAGAAAACTGTATAGTTAAATGTGTTAAAATTTTATCACTGTTTTGTTTGTTTATTTTGTTTCTTTGATTTCACTTGTAAGTGTAATCATATGGTACCCATATCTAAAAAATAAATAAATAAATAAATGAAGAAACAAACTCCTAGATCCAGATAAGGTACATATGGAAGCCACATGACAGGGGTTGGGGGGATGGGCAAGATGGTGAAAGGGATGAAGAAGTACAGATTGCACAGAAGTACAGTTGTAAAAATAGCACAGGGGTGTGAGTACAGCACAGGGAACATAGTACAAAAATTATTAATGGTTACCACTAAAAAAATAGATGCAAAACCAAACTTCCAAAGCAGCAAGGGAAAAGGAAAGACTAAAGTGTTTTAATCAAAAGAAAAAGGAGGAGGAGGGAAG